GAGCTTTCTCTTCTCCAGGCTGAACCCCCCCAACTCTCTCAGCCCCCCCTCCCAGCAGAGGGGCTCCAGCCCTCCCACCATCTCTGGGGCCTCCTCTGGCCCCATCCAACAGCTCCATGTCCTTCTGCTGGTGGTGGCCCCAGAGCTGGAGGCAGAGTCCCCAGAGCAGAGGGGCAGAATCCCCCCCCGGCCCTGCTGGGGATGCAGCCCAGATGTGGAGGGTTTTTGGGGCTCCAGCACACATTGCCGGTTCATGTTGAGCTTCTCATCCACCAACACCCCCAAGTCCTTCTCAGCAGGGCTATTCTCCATCCCCAGCCTGTCCTGATACTGGGGATTGCCCCAATGCATGAGCAGGACCCTGAACTTGTCCTTGTTGAACCTCACAAGGTTCTCACAGGCTCACCGCCCCAGCTTGTCCAGGTCTCTCTGGATGGCATCCCGTCCCACAGCTGTGTCATCATGCCACCTGGCTTCGTGTCATCGGCAAACTTGCCAAGAGAGAAAAAGAGAGTGAAACTTGCTCAAGAGAAACGGAGAGTGAGGGAAGAGGGTCCCCCCAAGCCAGGCACAAGCCCTGGGGTGACATGGCCACCGGGCCAGGGGCAAAGAAACCTGGAAGATGATGGCAGGCGGTGTCAGGGATGGCTGTTTCCCTTGAAACAAACCCCAGCCACTGGTTCCTGATGCAAAATTAAAGTCTATCTTGAATAACCCTGCCTGGTCCCACTCCTGTTGCCCTGCTGCTGGCCCCTGCAGGGGCTGTACCCGATGCTGCTGCTCCCTGGCACCCATTTTGGCTAATAAATTGTTTCATTCCAGAAGATTAATTCAGATTATTTCCTGTTAGATGCAAGAACTTCATATTCATGGCAAAAATGACACTGGACTTTACTGATGCTGAGACGTACTTACTAACAGTGAGGACAGATTGCAAAATAGTACTTTTATATCAATAAACAACTCACCTTCTCTCTCTCACCTGATGTGAATCAACCACTTTAACCTGCGAATGCACCTTTGAGGACAGAATAATGCTGTTTATTTCCTGCCGGTTTGGGGTGAAGACTGACTGGTGTGGTGCCTGCTCACACCCGTGTGTGTCTGTGACCGTTTCTGTGGCAGAAGAGTATCTTCTCTGTGCAACATATCGAGCAAAGAACATACAAAATACATCGCTAAGCAATATTCTCTTCCTGGAAACATGTATTTCATTCTGGTTTTTATACACGAGCACTGGAGGCAGTCTCCTGGTGATTTCGCAGGCGCAGAAGAACCTCCCACATTTAAAACATCCAAGAATACAGGACTCATCCTTTGTCCTTCGGTGACACCGAGCGACAGCCCCGTCACAGGAGCCAGACTGACCAGCACTGAGCCCACCTGGGGCAGCAGATGGGAGTCGTGCTCATTTCACTGAGCTTCTGTACTTTTTCATTGATTTATTGTGGAATGAACCCCCAGATGACAGTGATTAATTAAAACCAGTCATCCTGAAGCCATCCAGAATTGGGCTCTTTACAGAAAAGAGGAACTCACATTGCCACTTGTGCAATGGCACTTGAGGCTCAACTCTTTCAATAAGATGAATATTAGAAATTAATTTTGTAATTAGTTACATCTTGAGGGGGAAAAAAATGGTTATTGGACAGCACTGGGGATTCTTCCTTGGGGTCAGAGGAGTTATTTCAGTTTAAGCAACCTCAATGCAAAACAAACATGGAATTTGAAGAGAAGCGTGTTTGTGCCTACCTCACACGTTACACGTGTGTTCGTTTCAAGTTTTATCTCTTACAACTTTTCTATGATTATGGGGAGAGGGAGTGACCTGCAGAGGAAAATCTGATTACACAGGAAAGCATTGAGGAGAGCTTTTAGTTTATTTATAATGCTTTTCACAAGTTCTGGAAGTATTCACAGTTTTGGCGTGACAACACAATTTCTCCTAAATTTTGCATCATCCAAGTGTGGCCAAATCTGTATTTTTTTTCTTTTTTTTTTTTTATTCGTTTGGTGTTCGTGTCTTTGGCTCTAGTGCATCTGACATTTTGCATCAAATACCAAAAGAAGACGACAGATATATTTTTCAGCATTATATACATAAAAATAACAGCCGTCTAAGCCATAAATAAATTCATATTGGGATCTTCTCTACTTCAAGTCAGAGATAAGTTGTCTAGAAAAATCTGGTTAAGTGAAATCATTTTTAGGAGAAAAGCAAATTAAACTCACGTGGTAGAAAAATGTCAGTGGGAAATAGTTTTTCGGTACTTATTTAGATGACGGGTTTGGTTTTTTTTTTATTTTAAAAATATGTCACATTAATTTATTTAGATGATGGGTTTGTTGGGGTTTTTTTTATTTTAAAAATATGTCACATTAAAACAGGAAATTGGACTAATTCTTCATTGCTTTCAAGCGTGCGTATGGAATGACTGTCTTTTGGCTGATACAAAAAGGAGATGAACTAGACTCCGCAGAGATGAAAATCCTTTATGACTTGACCTAGAGAGCCAGATTTTATCCAGTAATTCCTATCCTCCGTAGACGTGGCAGCCGCAAATTCCCCAGGGATATCGTTGCTGTGCACACGAGTGAAAAATAACTGTGCGATGCCATCAGATCACAGGAGCAGTATTTCTTATTTGCTTTGGACTGATATGAGTCATTGCGCTGGAAGCGAATGAGGAATCGAGCACAAAAATGGGATTCAGACAAATCCTTCCTCGTTTGATAAATCAAATCACTATGTTCTTTTTATGAGCGGTTAAATTATGTCTTCCTTTGTATCGTTTTGTTCTGAAATTACTGTAATAAATCAGTCTTTGTGTAACACTAACTCATTCATTCAATTTATTTCGTTTTGAAGCATGCAATGGAATTTCAGAGGGAAAATAAGAGGTCACTTAGATTTAAAAATTTAAACTTTGAGCTTCAAAAGTCTACTGTGGATTCCAGTTTAAGAGAGAAATTAAGTGTGCTTTCACTGTCCTAGCAAAGAAGATCTAGCAGGCACAGCTCCATGCTAGTACGCACTGGTGCACCGAGCAGCAGCTAGTAAAATACACATATACATTTAGGACCCTGTTTAGCAGAAGGAACCCACCCGACTGTCCCAAGTATTCAAGCGACTCGGCGTGACAAGTCTTCTCAGTGTTTTGTACCGTGCTTTGTATCAGGAGAGAGCTCTGGAGTCCCTTCCTGTTCCACATGGGACTTATCTCCTGCAGCTGGTTGCGAAAGCCCAGGTTTCATCCAGACTCCTTGCTCTTTATTCCAACTGGAAGTGGTGACAGTGGGAACTGGGGCTTCCAGACATCTGAACGTGGGGATGTTTTCTCAGCAGGCTTTTCTGCAACCACATCCAACGTTTTACCACACCACCACACCTTCCAACACAGCTTTTTGCCCATCCCGGGGGCTTTTCGGAGCCATATTTCTTCCTCCTCCTTGGCCAGCCGAAGGATGCCCTCCCCTGCTGCATCCCAGCCTGGCCTTTCTCCCGAAAAAACCCAATTTGTTGTGCCAAGCCCCGTCCAGAATCGCAGCGTGTATTCCTTTGTGCTCCTTTTTCTTTAGCACTGTTTCTGGCAGGGAGTTAGTCCAACTGGACTACGCGGTATTAGCAGCATGTAAAGTAATAAATTAGGGAGCGGGAGGGTGCGGGTTAAGGTGAGCTCCCCCAGAGCCAGGGATGCTTCTGCAACCTTCTGGGTGGGAGCAGCTGGGATGCCCGTGAGTGCTCTGTGCTGAAGGAGGCCCTAATGCAAAAATCAGCATGCCATGTGCAGACTGAGTTTGGATGGAAAGGAAAGAGAGGGAATCCTATCCTATCGCTTCCTAACCCGTTCCTGTAATTTCAAGGTAATGCTAATCCGTTAGATGTAACATACTAATAGGTCTATTAAGTACAAAAAGAGGGAGATCCGTTCCTATTTCTATTCCGGTTGTTAGTTAGGTCATCAATGGTTAAATCAAATCCATGGAATTTACGTCCTGGAAAATATAAAAACTATCACTTAATATATAAACCAATATCCAGCTTGAAGTTTCCAGATCAGGGAAAACAGACTTTCACCATCCATCACTGATTGATTGAGGTAGACCACATTACTGAATTATCCATAATTTTAGTTTCTAATGTATTTGGTTATATATAATCAAATACTATCAGACATACCTGAAATTTTTCCCTATTTTAATTAGAAATGTTTTTAGGTATTAACAAGGTAAGTTTCCATAATTTACTTGGTCATAGACTGAAATTTCTGTATATTTTATGGCAATTTAGCATAATTCTTAGTAGTACCCTACTGTGTACATAAAGTAAAAAATAAATTGTATCACACCTGATGGAAAAAAGAAGGAAAAATATGGTTAGTGGTGAAGTCCTAGAACAATGAAAGGCTCAAATGTAAGATTCAGATGCTTATCCATTTCAGCTGTGTCATTCTGGCTCTGTACTTTTGAGTATTATTCTAATATTGCTACGAAGTCCATTATTCAGAAGGTTCTTCCTTGTGATTTCAGATGGAGATGCTTGAATATAGCTCTTCTATTTGTTTTTTGAAGTAATCCCTCAGTTCTGGTCTCTTTGCCTTTAGCGTTGGCGTCAACAAACCGTTTTGTACTGAGAACATATCGGAGTGAATATAAATGGCTTTGACCTAGGATTTAAAAAAAAAAAGGGATATATTTATAGCAAAAATTAGAGGCATCCCACTCAAGAAGCGTAATTTCTCAGGCCAGCCCTTCTGTGTTACCTCTGGAACCCAGGGATTTTCCCCACCTTCCCAACTTTTCCAAGGTGATACTAAATCCCTCCACCACCCCTTGCTGCTCTGCTTTCCTGGCTTGTTTTCCCAAAAACTGGCGCAGAAGGGAGAATGAGCAGGGAAATGTCTCTTCCCTGTGGAGCCCGGGGCAAAGCACGGCCAGGAGGAGTGCGAGGGCCAGTGTCCCCGTATGTGGCACAGGAACAGCCCAATTTCGCAGGGCTGAAAGGCTGGAAAAGCAGGGAAAGGGGGAGAACTGTGCTGAGAAACACCATCTTAACCCAACGGGGAAAGAAATTCAGCAGCACTGATGGGGTCTTGCAAAATTATCGTGAAGCTTTGCAGGCACACCACGAGCAGCTCGACGGAAGAAGAATTGACGGGGGTTTACTAGCTAATTAAAATGATGTGAAATCGTTCATCCTAGGCAAAGGGGGGGTTTTACAAGGCTGCCCTTGTTAGCGGCGGTGCCTCTGAGCACAGCGGGGAGGCTGGCAGCGCAGATGGGAGCCAGCTTTTCCTCCCAGTGCCTTTATGGGAGTGCTGGTGCGGGAGAAAGGGAAAAACTGCTGCCTGACTGGTCACAGCCCACCCATTTCAGACAGAATGCCCCAGCCATCTGCTGCTTTCCTGATTCCCCAAACCAGACCAGTTTGCATTTTCTAAGACTGGGAGTCGCAGGAATATGACAGAGAATCAATTTTTAAGTTCCCATTAGATACGTGATTCATTTTTCCCCTGTAAGCATTGTGGTCCAATTCCTCCCCCAGTGACGTCCTTCCCAAAAATTCTGGTTTTAATGCCTCCCTCCCTCGCTGCACAGGCTCTCGGAGTGAGAGCAGTGCTTGGAGACCAAAGGCAGAATTGTCACATCCAAGCCCAAGGTCCAAGCTCATGTGCTGGCACTGGAGACAAGGACAGGGACAATAAAGAGTGGTTCTTCCACCTAAAGGGACTCCCATCCCATCCCATCCCATCCCATCCCATCCCATCCCATCCCATCCCACAGGGGCATTAGCAGTAATAATTGGCTCAAAGTTTGGTTTTAAAAAGGTTACGTATTGCAACAGAAATGTCAATTTTGAAACCCTTTAATTTTGAAAAGCAAAATATTCTTAACTTTCAGAAAGAAGCCAATGCTCTCCTCAATTCTCTCCTCCTGCTTTATTATTTGCAAACTGCTGGCAGACTACATCACTTGAGGACATTTTATATTGTGAAGACTATGGCTGGAGCAAACCGTTCCTACCACAGGCAATGACATTCGTTGCAAACCGTGCTTCATCATGAATTCCATTTTAAAACTCATTTCTTCTTACTCTCATTTCATTTGCATATGTAACCAAGAAATGAAGAAGAACGAGTTTATGTTTCACGGTGCTTCTGCTGCACTCAGATACGGCGAATTACTCATTAGAATTACCACCCAGAAACAGTCTAAACAAAAGCAAAAAGGCCCTTGCTAATTATATGGAATGATTAAAATGTCCATTATTGTAACAGAAATAACCATTGAGACATTTTAAAATGTGGATTTATTTATTTTTACTGTGTTTTTAATGCTATGTGATCCGTGGGTGACTTCAGAGCTCTCCTTCTGAAGTGTTTGTAGCTCTGTCACAGAAATATTTACACAAGCACCAGAAAAGAATTGGTGCACAGGTTGAAAATAAGTAAACCAGCAGCATTTCCGAGGTTGTTTATAAGAATGGTAATTAGTGACCCAGTTTCTCAACAGCACTCTCAGTGGCAGAAGCACCAGAGTCCTACGGATATTTATCTTGAGCCCTGGTTGTCAGACTGCAGAGATTATCCCTGACCTTGGATTAGATTTTTACCTCTGCCCCCCAAATTTTCACTAAATTTAATTCAAATTTCAGGCGTGAGTGGAAGGCAGCATCACAGCCTAAATATTTGTCCAAGGAACAAATGCAATTTGCCAGCAATAAAGCTCATTCTCAGAAAACATTGCATGCAGCTGCAACAAGAGTACGTAGTAACAGGACAAATGCTGACAAATCCCCAATTCAATGCAAATGGACGAATTTGCTTGTCTGGCTGTGCTGAATAATGCATTAATTGTTTCATTTTACCTGCTCAAAGGAATGGAGTCCGCTCTCCTTACCTAACCGTACCATGTCTTCCATTATCGCTTGCTGCAGCTCCTGGGTTAAAATGCATAAATTCTTCATGAAATATCAGTCAGACTTAAATGCAATTAGTGTCGTTCTTCACCAAGAAAACATGTTTCAGAGTAACGTTCAGGTTATTGATAGTTAATACATAATTGATATTATTGAGGCTTAATACTATTGATACTCAATACATAATTAGTAAATATTCTATTGGAGAAATGTACAAGCATTAAAGTTAAGTGCGGTGATGTTAAGTGTTTCCTCAGGATGAAAAGTAAGGTTATATTTGCAAACATATATGACATAGATGCTTAAATTTGCAATCCTAGAATCACAGAATTGTCTAGGTTGGAAGGGACCTTTAAGATCATCTAGTCCAACCTTCAACCTAACTCTGATAAAAAACCCATCACTAAACCATGTCTCTAAGCACTATGGCAACCCGGCTTTGAAATCCCTCCAGGGATGGTGCCTCAACCCCTTCCCTGGGCAGCCCATTCCAAGGCTTAATAACCATTTCCATGTCAAAATCTTTCCTAATCTCTAATCTGAACCTCCCCTGGAGCAACTTGAGGCTGTTTCCTCTTGTCCCATGGCCTGTTCCTTGGGAGAAGAGACCGACCCCCCCTGGCTACACCCTCCTTTCAGGGAGTTGTAGAGAGCAATAAGGTCTCCCCTCAGCCTCCTTTTCTCCAGGCTGAACACCCCCAGCTCCCTCAGCCTCTCCTCACAAGACTTATTCTCCAGACCCCTCACCAGCTCTGTTGCCCTTCTCTGGACCCGCTCCAGCCCCTCAGTGTCTTTTCCCCACAGACACCAGTGGGATGATTTGGTGGCACCAGTGCTCATTGATCTGATCCCACTCGGTTACTCAGGATTAATGAACGTGCATAAATAAGGCTGGGGTCCTGATTTAAGACATCTGAGCAAACACAAGCTCTCCTGCTGCCATCCCAGTGTCCTCTCAAAGACCCTTGGTCCCCCCCACGTGGGAGTTGGCAGAGGTCTGCACAGTCAGCACGCATCACCGTACCCACCTCAACCCCACTGCATTTTCAGTGAGGAAATCACTTTTGTCACTGAGATCATTAATAATAAGACACCTACTCGAACTAGGCTACGCTACAGTGAAAAAATGTCTGTATTTCAGATAGATAGAAAGACAAACCTTATTTTTACAGAGTTCTGCGTACGTTCCTTCAAACCCTCTTTTCTTTGCCCAGCCCGGCATGACTTCGGAATCAGGCACCACGATCCCCACCAGAAAGGCCTGGAGGTGAAGGAGAAGGACAGTTGCAGGCGAAAGCTGAATCACATTTAATCGTACTGAAGTGGATGCACAAGCCAGCTGAATTTGCTAAATGTTTATCACTTCTTGTTTAATTATGTCAATAATTTGCTAATGCGTCAGAGCGAAGTATATTTTTAGTGTTTGTGCCTTTTCCTCAGATAAAAAACTACAGTTCGCTGTGGCTGTTCCTGTGTGACAACAATTTTAATACCTTCAGTTGAGTTTGCTTTCTGCTTGGATATTAATTACTTATTTTTTTCACAGGCATGAGGCAGAGCAGAACACAGCCCAGATCACTTATACACCCTCAGCTCCTGGGCCTGTGGGTCCAGGGAAACTCTGCTGCCAAGGGAAACCTCGTGTTTGTGGGCAAGGAATGTAGGGGGATGAATTGCAGTGGTTTCAGAAGCTGCAGGTGTTTGTATAAATATGCAAATAAATAGGATGAGATTGGTCAAATTGTGCAGGCAGTGGTGGTGGTGGAGCAGCACTGTCTTTGCCTTCCTCTGGCTTTGCCGCAGGCAGTGTGGGAAGGTAGAGGGCTAGAGACCCAAAAGGGTGAGACTATATCAAATTTAAAGGCTTGATCTTTGGCCACAACATCCTCCAAGCTCTTTCAGGTCACACCAGCTCTTTATCTTTAATTTACAAAAAATAAAGTAAGATTTTTCTGAAAAATTAAGCTTTTACCTGCAGGCTGTCTCCGTGGACGTAGATCTGAGCGACAGGGTCACTGCGGATATAGATATTCTCTATCTTCTCCGGTGCAATATATTCTCCCTGAGCAAGTTTAAATATATGCTTTTTCCGATCAATAATTTTAAGAGTCCCATTCTGGCAGGAGAAAGAAAAGAGAGTTCCCAGAGAAGTTATTTAACCCCAGTGACTCAGTAAGCTGTCTGCTTTTAACAGAGCTCTTTGAAGGGCCACAAAACACTTCACTGACTTATTGAGCTTCTTCTGCAAAATATTAACTCAATCCTTGGTAAAGATAGATCTGTTTCAGTGAGGAAATCACTTTTGTCACTGAGATCATTAATAATAAGACACCTACTCGAACTAGGCTACGCTACAGTGAAAAAATGTCTGTATTTCAGATAGATAGAAAGACAAACCTTATTTTTACAGAGTTCTGCGTACGTTCCTTCAAACCCTCTTTTCTTTGCCCAGCCCGGCATGACTTCGGAATCAGGCACCACGATCCCCACCAGAAAGGCCTGGAGGTGAAGGAGAAGGACAGTTGCAGGCGAAAGCTGAATCACATTTAATCGTACTGAAGTGGATGCACAAGCCAGCTGAATTTGCTAAATGTTTATCACTTCTTGTTTAATTATGTCAATAATTTGCTAATGCGTCAGAGCGAAGTATATTTTTAGTGTTTGTGCCTTTTCCTCAGATAAAAAACTACAGTTCGCTGTGGCTGTTCCTGTGTGACAACAATTTTAATACCTTCAGTTGAGTTTGCTTTCTGCTTGGATATTAATTACTTATTTTTTTCACAGGCATGAGGCAGAGCAGAACACAGCCCAGATCACTTATACACCCTCAGCTCCTGGGCCTGTGGGTCCAGGGAAACTCTGCTGCCAAGGGAAACCTCGTGTTTGTGGGCAAGGAATGTAGGGGGATGAATTGCAGTGGTTTCAGAAGCTGCAGGTGTTTGTATAAATATGCAAATAAATAGGATGAGATTGGTCAAATTGTGCAGGCAGTGGTGGTGGTGGAGCAGCACTGTCTTTGCCTTCCTCTGGCTTTGCCGCAGGCAGTGTGGGAAGGTAGAGGGCTAGAGACCCAAAAGGGTGAGACTATATCAAATTTAAAGGCTTGATCTTTGGCCACAACATCCTCCAAGCTCTTTCAGGTCACACCAGCTCTTTATCTTTAATTTACAAAAAATAAAGTAAGATTTTTCTGAAAAATTAAGCTTTTACCTGCAGGCTGTCTCCGTGGACGTAGATCTGAGCGACAGGGTCACTGCGGATATAGATATTCTCTATCTTCTCCGGTGCAATATATTCTCCCTGAGCAAGTTTAAATATATGCTTTTTCCGATCAATAATTTTAAGAGTCCCATTCTGGCAGGAGAAAGAAAAGAGAGTTCCCAGAGAAGTTATTTAACCCCAGTGACTCAGTAAGCTGTCTGCTTTTAACAGAGCTCTTTGAAGGGCCACAAAACACTTCACTGACTTATTGAGCTTCTTCTGCAAAATATTAACTCAATCCTTGGTAAAGATAGATCTGTTTGGAAATTTAAGTTCAGTACTTGGAAATTTACATGGGATAATACAACTGACATCAAAACTGAGCATCTGGTCAGGACGCACCGGTAACCATTTCCCGATGTCCCCAGTGTGAAGCCAACCCTCCTGGTCCAGTGCTTCAGTTGTCTTCTCCTCATCTTTCAGGTAACCTTTGAAAACATTGGGTCCTTTCACACATATCTGCAAAACAGTCGGAGTTGCTGAGAAATTATTTTATTACTCTGCTGGAAAGGCTAACAAGCTAAATCGTCATTCACTAAAATGGAAATATTTTAAAGGTTGACTTAATGACTGTCCTCCACGAAGCTAAAATATATTCCGTTATAAAATTACCCATGGATTTTTTTTAAACTAATGGAAGTTCGAAGTAGGGGTTGCAAAACTGATTTGCTTGAAGTTGGTTTGCATTCAGCTTGCAGTTAAAAACAGTTATTTCAGTAAGTTTAATTTCTGCGATGAAATATCAGCGATGTAGAAATCACAGCAATTCAGCTCTTCTCAGCTGAGCTAATTAATTCAGTCTTAGCTTTTAAAGTAATCAGGCATGGCATTGGCTGGAATTACTGCCACAGCCCCTTTTTAATTAGTGCTCTGTTGCTTTATTGCTGCATTGATGTTTTCTTTTCCTGATTGTAAAACGTAACACATCTGCAACCATGCACCTTACAGAGGTAAAATGCTTCTAAAACTACAGAACTACTTAATACAGTGTTAACTAGTGAGAATTTGATATAAAAATGTGATTTGCTACCTCTCCTTCTCCTTTGGAAGCAAAATAATTCAGCTCCTCCACATCCTTCAATCTGATTAAGTTACAGGGCAAAGGGGCTCCTACATGACCTGGAAATCAAAGTTATCAAGTCACTTCTCATCTCTCCTGGAAACAACACTTAGCATTTTGTGATTAGTCGCTTGCACAGTTGTAGATAACCCTGGATGTTCTTGCAGCAGCTGTGTCTGTGTGCAGAAATAATTTCCTCATTTACGGTTTTGCATTATTAAGACCAAATACCCCAACCTTCTGTTTGGCTATAATCCCCTGGGAATTCCAGCTGCACCGAATTAGGCTTCCCCCAGCCCTGCAGTTTCTCCAAAGATGAAGCTGGGACAACGCCTGCTGTGGCTGACAAGCACAGCTCGAGCACTGCACTGTGCAAAACAGGCCTTTCCCCCCAAAAAATAACCACTAGGAAAGACAGACTGGAAGGAGAGGAGTCCCAGCTCTGTGTCCCAGCACTCTGCACAGTCTCGTTTTGCCAAGGAGCCAGATGGAAGCTCCTCAAGGATGAGGATGTGGCAAGTGGTGCTTTGCCCTGTGCTAGCCAGGGCACAAGCAGGGGCCAGTGAGTCCCAGCACACACCAGTATCTGCAAGAGGCTGGTTTGGGGTCGAAGAAACCCCAAGAGATGGCCCAGAAATGTTAAACTGGCCAGACCCATTAATATCCGATGTCCAGGTTTCCTACGAGTATTCATTTGAATGAGTATTTCAGAACTTTTTTATAAATACTGATGAATTATATTAAGAAGAAATTAAGCCATGGTACTTGTATGTATTAACATAGAATCATAGAATGGTTAGAGTTGGAAGGGACCATAAAGATCATTGAGTTCCAACCCCCCTGCCGTGGGCAGGGACACCTCCCACTTAGTGCTCGTTTTTATCTGATTTTGACAAGATTCAGAAGTTTCAAAAGCCTGAAATACATGAAGTATTGAGTGGTGGTGGATCAGTATTCCAAGCCTGGGTTTGCTCACTGAGTACATGAATGTATTCATCTTTTCTTTGCTCCAGCATTTCATTCTAACAAACACGCTTCTAAATTCAGCTCGGCTGCTCTCGAGAGGACTCAGGGCTGCGAGTGCAGAGATGAGAGTATTGCAAATAACAGCTCAAGGGACAATCACAAACCTCCCCAGGAAAACGTGCCCCGCATCCAATCCCTGTGTATTTATTCTGGACTAGAGATGCTTTAAAAAACATCACATTTGCTGAAGATTATCCCCACGGTGGCAAATGCTGCGTCACACCCTGTGACGTTACAGTCTGGAATTTTCAAAAGAAACGTGCATTTCTTTTCCTGCCTAGAAATGGTGGAAGAAAATTCCTACCTGATGTCCAGTCACCCGGGGTGGTGAAGGTGCATCCGGCTGTGCATTCTGTTTGGCCATAACCTTCGTAAACCTGACACAGAAACAGGGATCTTTAAAACAGAAGAAAAACTCAAAGAATTTCCCCGTTTCGCTCCCCGGTGAGCTGATCCCACCAGCTGCGACGCACGGGCTCACGTTAAACACAGGGACACTTCCCCTGGCCCTCACTGTGGACAAAATGTCATTTATGTCATATTATTTGAAAATTACCACACCTCAGGAGAGATGAAAATAGTAAGAGGACAAGTTCAAGCACTTAGCTTTTGAGTCAGGAACTATGTTACTCTATGAGAGGAATTTATTAGTGGGGGGAAAAAAGGTATTTTTGTGGGACACTTTGAATAGACACCTTTTAACATGTTTTTTGCCCAATTTTAGGCTCTTGAATGAGGCTTTTTAGTTGCCCTGGGCTTCCTAGTCAAAGAGAAATAACGCAGGGGACATCTTCGGTGGGTTGAATTGCCATCTTAAGGTTATCTTTCACTATTTATATATAGAAAAAGACTCATATAATGAAGTTCCTAGCACATGCACGAGCACATTTAATTGCACATATTCAATTTAGTGCTGAGAGATGGGTGGCTTCGTGAAATTTTTTGGCATTTTGGCAAGCGTGAGCGGCGCTTGCCCGCTGCCAGAGCCACCAGTGGCTCCCAGTCCGGCCTCCCAGTCCAGCCCAGGACTGTGGGGACACCAGTTGGAGCCATGGTGGGGAATAGGTCCCCAGATGCAGTTTTGAGGTCCCAACCCATCGTTGTGCTTGACTGCAGCGTGTTCCCCAGCTGGCAGCAAAGGAGCATCTCCATCAGCCCACCTGGCAGCCGAGGGCGGCGCGGAGGAAGCCCAGGACGGTGGGAGACGCGGGGGCAGCCCCCGTCACTATCATACGAACGCAGCCGCCGAGACTCGCCTGGTCGAGAGGAGGAAGAAAACAAAAGAAAACATCACAAAACATCACAAATTACCACCGCCGGCCAAACCGGCAGCCCCCGCGAGTGTTGCCGAGACAGAACTTGCCCCAAATCCTCCAAAGTGGCCCTGAATCTTCCCTCAGGAATAAAAAGCCGGCTAAATCTTACAAGAAATAATCGCGTCCCTCGCAGGTAGAATTAGTTCCCTAAGGAAAAAAAAAAACATTTTTTTGGGGATTCCTACGCCTGGAAGGACGAGAGGCTGGGTCTCGCCTCCCGTGGATGCCTGTGCCCGGGGGGAGTCAGGACACACAGCAGCTCAGGGAACTGTTGTGTAAAAAAAACCCACACTCTTCCCCCCCTCCAGTTTTTATTTGCACCTCGTTTTCTTAATGACTTGGCTCCCAAGCCATCTAAAACAATGCCGTCCCTTTCCGAAGGCTGATGACCTTCAAATATTTGTGGAGGGCATTACATCAATTCCTGTGTCGTGTTTTACTTTCTTTTTTTTTTTTTTTTCTTTCTCTTTTCTTTCCTTTTTTTTTTTTTTTTTTTCCCTCTTTTC